AAATAATCCACATTTATAAACACAATGCACGAGCGTCTCTCATCTCAGGACAAAACCAGGCTGTAACAAATCCATAGGAGGCAGCAGGAAAATTCAACATGCTCACTGTGGGCCTGAGGTAGATACAAGTATATTTGGAGGATCTGTGAAGGTCTTTTAAACCCATTCTGTTTTTCCTGGCAGAGTGTCTGTGTCATCATCCTCCTCTGTCTTGCTGGTGTACAGGTCAGCCAACCTGGTAAAACGTGGTCCCCAGTGGGACAGGCTCTCAAAGTCCTGCTCCTCGTCTGAATCTGAGGAGTTGATGGAGCTAAGTGAACTCGCCTCCGAGCCGGTGCCCTCATAGTCAAATACCAGAAGAGAGTCATACGGAGGAGCTGCAGTGTCTCCGTCTGCAGCGTGGAGGTTCTACAGGAAACACCAAAGGAGAGTTAAAAACACTCACTCACAAACATTGAATAAATATTACACCTAAACACAGCATTCAAAATTCCTATATATAAAACTAAGCATCGCTCACGTCCTCGATGAATTGGCCAATCTCTTCATTGGCTCGGGGTTGTAGGCGGTAGCATGGTCGGCTTTGGACAGTGGGGGAAACATCAGTACTGAAGACTTCAGGACGGTTATCAAGCCCTCTGTGGAGTAAGCTGAGGTCATACTCCTGACAACATATAGGGAGAAAACAGACCTTCAGTATATTCAACAAAATAACAGATACACTCCCTGAGTTACTACAATTCTACAATTCACTTAGCAGACGCTTTTATCCAAAGCGACGTACATCAGAGAGTAAGAACAACACAAGCAAGGATCTAGAAAAAAGGAGCAATGTGAGTAAGAGCAAACGATCAGCTTTGAGTCTGATTGGACACACAGGTGCTGACAGGAAGTGACCAGAGGCAAAGCACAACACTGAGGGCAGTTCTTGAGAGCTCTAATCAGTATAGAAACCATCTTATAAGTCATCGTTATCAAACAAAAACCATCGTCACAACCATCATCATCATCAATAATATGGAGACCATCATCATTAAGTTAGTAGGTATTCATGAAAGAGCTGGGTCTTTAGCTTTTTCTTAAAGGTGCAGAGGGACTCTGCAGATCATATGGAGTTTGGAAGGTCATTCCACCACCGGGGGGCGACAGAGGAGAAGAGTCTAGTTAGAGACTTAGGACCCTGTTAGACCGATAAAATATCAGAAGTTAGACCTATAAAATACCAGAAGTAATATCATGACATAAAAATAATGTAAACATGTGAAGAGTTTAAATACATATCAATGAGAGCCTCAACATTTGGTGTGATGTGCTTAAAAGCATTTGAAAGCAGAAATGCCATGCAAGCAATTGTATTCAAGGCACATTGTTGACCTTTTTTTTCTCTCAGGTTACATTAGGTTAACTGGTTCAAAGAAAAGTTGAATAAGTTGTGTGGTGAGGGGAAAACAACTCAAGGCCATTTCCACTTCCATGTTTGTAACTTTGTGGCTATTTGTCCAAAAACAAAAACAAATCTAAATAAACCTAATAAACTAATATCAAACATAATCAAATGACCACTGATGCACCATGGGGATGTGATGTACGCAGGCAAAAGAAGTCCAATGTCCATGCAAGAGATCTGCGTTTTTTTGCAGGTTTATTTGAAGAAAGCAAACAAAAGAACAAAGACAACCGTGTCTCCTGCTGCCTCTCTTGCGCTGGTAAAAAAAAAAAAAACATTGGCAGACCCAGGTGCATGCTGGTTCTCTACCTGCCTCTTACCTAAATAACCTCTGGTGCCCACAGTGTTACCCAAATACCTAACAAAAAATACTAATGCAGAACATATAATGAAGAAAATATTACCCAAAATCTATTCTAAATAAAGAAAACGTGTAGAATAATTAAATACACCACCCAAATATTAGTAAACTAAATACCAAGACTAATTCTAACAACAATTAAATAGCTCCAACAAACTATTTCTATGATCAAATTTGAGAGAAGACATCTGACATGTGGATATTGTTCAGCAGCAGTCTTTTGTCACCTACCTGGTCATCTTCCCCTCCTCCCTCCTCGTTATAGAAGAAGATGTTGTCTCTGGGTAAATCCTCAAGAAGTGCCACATCCTTTTCAGACCTCCTCCTCCTTCTCAGCAACAACAGCAGCAGCAAGAGCAGCACTGTAGTCAATGAAATAATAAATCAGAGTAATTAAAGACAGAACCAAGCCAAAAATCTAGGGCATCAAGTGACGCTATACTTACACAAAAAAACAAAAATCGCTCCGAGAACTGTAGTTGCAAGAGAGGGAATACGCAAATGAGGTGCAGAGCGGGGGATGAAGCAGGTAGAGACTGCACCTTGACACTGACATATTTCTACCACTAGTGTGCTGTCTTGGTAGAGCATGCAGCATCATAGATACGCATCAGCACGATGTAGTCCCGGGTGACAGCTCTCTTTTGGGGGTCAGTGCAGCCATGTTGCCTGCAAGCACAGAAAAATGCAGAATCAGCACTTCAGCAGGGCTTGATCTTTTTGGTTAAATACATGTGTAATGAATGGGGAGCTGGGTTATCTCTTGCACATCTAACTGCAGTTTAGATGCACAGACAGATGGGCGGGCCGCCCCCCTAATATAATGGTAGGGAAAACACTGAGATCTCAAGAAAACAACAGACATTTTTTTTAGTTATGACGTTATAGGAGCCAAAATCCTTGTTTTATTTGACTCTTGCAAGAACACTATGAATTTGTATTTGAGTATAATTCCGACACTGACACTAGGTTGGAGTCTTGACTTATGCTGTGAATAAAGCCAAGGCTCCAGGTAATTAGATTCAGGTGTGTGTTTGGAAAGCATATAGTTTTTTGACCGTGTCGGGTTGACTTAGATGTAACAGTTTATGCTTCATGATGTGTTGGACAGAATGGGACATTTATGTTGCAATTAGTGAACCCCGATCATGAACTATAATAAACAGATTGAAGACTCTATTGGAAAAGAGTACCAGACATTTTGTTGTTGCAACACCAGGTGCACACGTCCGGAAAAAGTTCCAAAATAAGATCAAATAAAATATATGATAACATGTAAGCAGTGGACTATAGGTTTAAAGGCTTTATATGCAATTTTTTGATCCAGCAGATGTCACCTTGAACACAGCATGAACAAAACAACTCGCGCTGCATTGTTGTGTTAGCATGCTAATGCTAGCGGTCTTTATTATGCTCGTATCTTCACACTGCATGTAATTTACCCGAAATGACAATGATCTAGAAAACGCAGTTAAGCAGTGAGTACAGTATGTTATTCTTCTTTTATCTAGTCCCTCAATTAAACAACTTTTATTCGCGAGGGGATGAGTCAGCTGGCCATCCCGGCGATGTAAACAAACTGAAGATAGGACTCTGAAAATCTGAAAACATCACAGACGTGGGACTCGGGTGTTACACCCATTGTAGACAGTCATGACTCACAGAGTTATTTTCAGGATCAAGGATATACTTGATTTCTACATTTAAGTGTGAAAAATCGCATATTATCGCCTTTAAGCTGCAAAAGGGCCTGATTCTTTTTCCATCAGGTTTGCAAATTAAATAGGTCGGCTGTTCATGTTGTCTCCGGGGTTTTGTTGAGCTCTTCACTTGTGGAATTGGTGCTAACAGTCCAGTTGGTCTGTGCTCTCCTGAAGTTCGACAGTAAATGGTCCAGCGTGACCTGTACAGTCAAGGTCCACGATGTCGAGCAGGGCGGGTAAAGGGTCACTGTTGCAAAGACTGACCTTCCTCTGCCGGATCACAGGACGTGATCATTCACGTCGAATAGACTCACAACAGAGTGCCTGTGCCTGTAGCTGGGACTGAGTCTACAAGGGGTGATGAAAGACAAATGAAGACACAGCAGCGTTATCACTCAGTCAGGTGTAAAGACTG